GAAAGCATTTGAACCATTACAAATTTGTATTAAAAGTATTGTATGTATTTATTTACATATAAGTAATATCTTAAATTTTGTTTCTACTGTATTCCATGCAGTCCATCATCCACCATGACCTGACAATGACTGAAAAGAACAAGGGGAAAAAACTGATTATTTGCGCCCACACAGTACCACAACTGCTCAACTATGGGCACTGCAGGCATAGATGGAATGCTGTTGGCTAGCCTCATTCATTACTCATCAATCATCTCGTTATCTCAAGAAATCAATAACTGTTTTCTCATGATAATGAGACAATTATCTTGTTATCTTGAGAAAACAATTAATGGTTTAACCGTGATAACGAGATAGTTATGTTGTTTTCTCGAGAAGGCAAATGAAAAAAAAAAGTCGAGTACGACAGCTCCGGGCTTCTGTACAATATTGCACCCTGGTACTCCAATTATTTTTCAGGGTTCTCAGATCAGGCCAGTTTTCTGGCAAACTGAACTCAGAAATAACTAGTATTTGGTACCTTAGTTAGTGTGGACAGGTTTCTAAGTCCTGACATGAGAAATGTTTACTTCTGTGTGAAGTTCTTCTATGTTTATTTATTTATTTATTTTTTTTTTGCAGTTTCATGTTGTATTATAAATTCACTGTAAGCAAAAAAAACAAACAAAAACAAAATCTAAAAAAATAAAATCTACATTTAAATTTATGCCAATCCCCATTATTGTGATCTTGTAAACCTCTGATCTCAGCTGTTTGCTAGTCATGACTGCCCTGCTCTTTGTTTTTTTATATGCCAATCTATGATAGAGCTCAATTTCTACGTCTCCATTATGCAAATATAAACAAATCTTCAAAATCTTTCTAAATATATGTTTTGTCAGTAATGTCAAAATGTGAAGCAGCCAAAAAAAAAAAAAAAAATTATAATAAAGTAAAACAAAAGAAAAAGATGGTAGACATCTTTTGTATATTACCAGAAAGTCCCCCAACTGTGTAGGGAGATGATTTATTTAGTGAGTAGATAGCTGTCAAAGTAAGGCCTTAGAGTAAGAGAGTGACTTACAGTAACATAAGGCAAGAATTAAACATTATATGAATCAGTAATATCCCATCACCCTTTTGGTTGAAACATTGAGCAAGTCTGAGTCAGAGCTGAAATGTTCTCAGGATTTGCCCTGTTTAAATGCATTAATTCATAATATTTTTAAATGCGGTTAAGTTTATGCAGAGTGCCTTTAGTAATCCAGTCCCTCTTGAGTCAACATGTCTCACCAGAGTGCTCTGGATTAAATTTAAAAAGGCTGCCAAATAGTGATCCTCATAAGATTGGTAAATACATCTGTTTGTTTTGATCACAGCTGGAGAACAGTAGGAATAGATACACTGCACTGCAGATTCAATGACTGCATTGAAAACTAGTTTATACCTGAATGAATCCAGCCCCACTTGACTGACAAAAAGAATGCTCTTTACCACGGTCATGTTTTAGTAAAAAAAAAAAAATAACCTTTATGATAAAACACCTGCTTTGATCTGAGATCCTGTCAGACCTAACATAACCAACAGATAAATCTTCAATCCACAAAACTGTGAAGCAGTGACATGGCCCAGAGGAGCCACATTTACCATTTTTATAGCTTTCATTCTGCAGTAAAGCTTTTACTCCTTTGTATGTAGACACAAAACGGGAAAATACGGGGAGCACATGTTCTGGTTATGGTGACCTCATCTGAGGCCAACATTCAAAGTACAGGAAGTGGCAAACACTGACAAAAGACCAGGGTCAGCTCGGTCTCAAGGAAATGGCTAAGACGTCTGGGGCCCTCTCAACACTGCATTCGGTGATGGTGCCACATAATGGGTTTAAATGACTTGGTGGTACTGTAATTCAACATGACTGGAAAGGTAATGAGAAACGTTGTTGTTCTGGAGAAGGCTAAAGATAAGACAGTATAAAAGCTTACATATTTCTCTTTATAAATGTTTGGCTGTAGGGCATTAAAAGCAGCAAATATTTACATGCTATTTGGCTCTAATATAGCACTAAGATTTGAGGGTTGACCTTTTCTTCACTGGTTTTATTTGAATTTTCAGCCTTGGGCTTGTTGGAGCTGGTAGTGAGGGTAATTTTTGTGGTCTAAAAGTGCTACAATTTTGTCTAAAGTTGCTCTCCTTTCAGAACCCCTCCCACGCATGGCTCATAAAAACTCTCCTTCAGTTTATGAGGTTACAGCCTGAGTGTCGATGGTCTTTATGAGGCATATCTTTCCGAGGCAAATAAGCTTAGCTTTTTTATCCTGTTTCTTCCCGTTTTCATAAGAACAAGGTAAAAAGGCTTTCAAAACATGTTACTACCACAAAACTCCACAACCCCTTGTAAAGTATTCATACTACCTCAACATTTTGTTATGTGGCAACCATATAACTTTTCCTACTTCATTAACATTGTATGTGTTAGGCCAGCTTTAAACAGTCCATAATAGTTAAAAGGATTGGAATCTATGGGTGTTTTTTTTAAACGGAAATAAAAACATAGCCTGAATTTGTAATCATCCATCCATTCCATTTTGCGTCACATTTATCCCAAGCAGGGTTGCGAGGGGTGCGGGTGCCTATCTCCAGCAAAACAACCATTCATGCACACACTCACACCTAAGGAGAATTAAAGGAAAATTCCGGTTTTTAACAC